CAGAATACAGTAAGATCCAAAACAACCACGAGTTGAAACCGTGTCATGTGTCAACATATATCATGCTTGCATGATGGCAAGTCAACCAAATTTTTAGGTAATGTTTTCACTGTTAGGTATATCAACGGTTCTGGAACACTCCAACACAATGGATGAGGTCTTATCCCTTTCTGAGCTTTTATATGCTTCACATGCAACTGTCTAACAGTCATATTATTAACCTCTCATATAAAAGAATAAGATTCTCGTGGATATGTATCTTCCAAATTGTTTATGAGCTTAGCTTTTGTTTGTTCACATGGTAGAGATGGAATATAGGAGTGAAATGGTCAATTTTGAAAACCCCTTTAGTCTTCTGACCTGGAATGACAAAAATTAATTCCCTTGCCACTTGAAACCAGAGGTCTAGAGATTGATGGAGAAATTGAATGGCAAGTGATTAATACAGTTACAGGGTAATATAAACTCTTAAAACGATATTGGAATGACATGCATGCGCGCCTTTCTATTCCCTGTAGAGTCTCAAACACGACCTAAAGGACAAGGTCGCAATATTTATATCAGGTAATTTTTCATGGGACAATGGGGCGTTCTTTTATCGCAACGCGTGGTCGTGAGAAGTGCTGATCTTTTTCATGTGCTTGTGTAGGAAATATGGACAAAAGGAAAGCCATTGCGTTGATGGCATGGATCGTGGTCCTAAGACCCTAATTTGGTTTGCTAAGTATGTGTGCAAGGAACTTTTATGCCCTTTTTCCCTTTCTGGGTTAGCAGCATGCTTGAGGCAAAAGATTTGATGTTAAGCGGGAAGATTTGCGAAGGATACAAGTTAAAAACCTTCTTTCTTTCTTTTTTTTTTTGGGGGGGGGGGGGAGGCTTGGTGGAGTTTCAAGTCCATGCTCTTACCTCGGAAAAACAAAAGAGGGAACTTTATTGATCCTTGCTGTACTGAATGGGTTTGAGTTTTAACCCCTGTAAAACGTGTGAACATCAAATGAATTATAAGCTTACAATGTAACCAGTTTTGCAGAGTTGCCAAAATTCAATCAATCCTGTTAATTGTGTAAGCTGCTTATTGTTATGTCTCTGTCAGTCTGCTTTGCCCATGCATTTTAATTGCCCAGAATAATCTTCCTTATGCTAGCTGTGAATTGTCTTCTTCTTCTTTTTTTTTTTTTTCCTCTCCGTTGGAAGTTCATTTGATGATAGTTATGAAAGGAATGCATCAGACAAATGTCCCAGGCATGGAAAGGAACCAAGTTCTGCAGCATCAAACTCACTGAAGATAAGTTTTTTGCGTAGTGCCAGGTGATTCGGTTTGGTGTATCTCTTCCGCATTATGGCCATGTCCCTCAAAATCCTATGTTGTATTGCTAGGATTAAAACTTTTAATGAAGCTACCATGAGAACAATTGAAGGCGCTTGATTTCATGCTAATAAAGTCTGAAGGAGGAATTGTGTATTGACTTCTCTATAGCTGATTGGTTCTTAAAGCTACAAGATATATCTATTCACAAATTTAACTGCGAAAATCCTACAGCCTCATATCTTACATTCTAACTAGAAAAGCATTCACACAATATCGATGTGACGATTATTTATGACATGATTAAACCAGGAACATGGACCAATATTCCATAAAACGGGATAAATTTCTTCAAATCACATCATGTAGCCAGAGTATTCCTGGCACAGGGGGGGAGAGAGATAGAGAGGGGCCATCTTTTCTGGTAATTCATGATCTCCATTCTGACCTGCTGCCAAGAATCTCTCTCTGCAATACTTTTGCAAGCATCAAGAACCATACATCATTCTGTTGACAAATGGACCACAAAGCTCAACCACAGTTGGCCAGCATGATCAACATTCTTTAAATTGATTCCAGACTAGTAAACAAATCTGAAAGGGGGCATTCTTTATGCAATGCTTCTGCCATGATAGGGCTCTAAAACAATAATACAGCAGCTGCAAACTTCAGAAACAGCAGCTGAGGAAGATATCTTATCTAAATCTTTCATGGGTATTTCATTGGATTTTTGTTCATTTTCTCTCTAAGAGAGCCCAAGCGGAAAGAACTGGCTGGACTATGTCATGATTGGCCATGTCTGATACACCCTCCTTGATCTGCAGTTCGTAAGAGGAAGAATAGGATGATTTTCCTCTTTAATTTGGTTCTAGGAGATGATAATGACACACAATTCTCGTTCCTATTTGATAAGACCTCATCAGGAAAATTATTTCAATTAATCTGATTTCTTGCGGCAGCATTTGGAGAAGCCTGCAACCTGCTGCGGATGAACATTGCAGATTTGGCTCCTGCAATGATTCATTATAATTTTCATAAGAAGTTCACGACTGATGCTGTCAAATACATCACAATGTTAGATTGGAAAGACATCTGCATAGATTGGAAGTTGGATAGCTAAAAATTTGAAAAGTGGGCAAAGAAATGCTGGATTGTGCTTTTCAAAACTTGTAATTGATCATTAAGAAGGTAGCCCCAGTATTAAGATTTATATAGAGTTCATGATGCTTGATCAAAACATATGCATGCTAATCCACTGATCTTTTACCATAAATCTTCCGGTCTGTCATATATGGGGCAAGGTTGCTCATAAAAATTGCTGCTGACAGGCATGCTCAAGAATCATAATGTCTGGGACTTACCATCCTCCAAACTGTTTGTATACTTTTTTCAAGAACTATGGCATGGATGCTGACCAAAGGCTTTACGTAGACAACCTTCTGATTCTCCAGGTCACCACTCCCTCATAGCCAAAAAATGAAATATTGTTAATGGAGAAAATTAGAATAACATTAACTGCACTTAATTAACTAGACACAGGAAAAGACACTTCATGTCTTTCTCTTGGACCTTTCCCTCCAAGTTCACCACAAGCCAGCAACACAACACTTGAAGAATTTTAAAGAAATTTTATCATGAGTGCTATCAGACCTCCACCAAATAGGTTACAAGCTCCTTCAATAGAAGCATCCCGAGAGACTTATCAAAGATACTCACATATTCAACTCACTCAGCCTGAAAGACTCCATTTCCCTCAGTCAAGTTTTCAGTCACAACTTCCATTTCTTGTAGGAGAATCCCAGGATCCTAACCAAGATGATGATGAGGCCTGGCTCGTAAAACTCGAGGAATTCCACTGCACTAGGAGACTTTATGATTTAGATGACTCTGACCTAAAAGGTGTCATGAACTTGTGCCCTAGTCATGAACCTATCCGCAAAAGTCTAAGATAAACACTATCATCAAGAAGATAAAGGGGACCTGCTAGAAAACTACTTTATGTCGCCATTTACTTTTACTTTATTAAAGTAGTTTGTCCTGTAATCTATTTCGTCTTCTTGTAATAATTAAGGTAGTTGTCATTATGGAAGTAGTTGTGACTATCAAATGACAAGTCATTATAACACCTACCCATCATAATGATATCTACTATTAGGATTTTGTCATGTAATGACACCAAGCCTCTATATAAACTCCACTCTGCCTCTAGTTACAGGCAGAAGGAGTTGTAAGAATTTCCTTGTATAATACTAGTTTGTTTTTCTTATGAGTTCTTTCTAAATTTCTCTTTTCTGAAAGTCTCACTTAAAATGTCTAGTGTAGCCATATGCAATCAACACAAGTCAATAGCCTTGGACCACGTTTACCAATGTTTCAAATTTTTTCCCTTGCTCTCTATAATTTAGTAAAATTTTAAATTATTTTTTTGAAAGATCAAAACTTATGATTTAAAACATGAAAGAGTTAAACCAAAATTTGCACAAATTTAAAGGACCAAAGATTATAGGTTAAAGTATGCATTTGGTTCTTCATCTTTGTATAAGGTTTTATTTCAGTCTCTTAACTTTAAAAAAACATATTTTTAGTTCTTTAATCTTAAAAATATTAGTGTTAAATGATATTTATTGTAAGAATCATAATTATTTTGAAATTTAAATTTAATGTGTTAGTATTTAAGAATGTTTTATTAATATTTAAAATCTCAATATCATTATTTTTTGTTAAAAATTTTAGGATTAAATGATTAAAAATATACTTTTTAAAATTAAGAGACAAAATTGTAATTTTGTGTAAAGTTAAAGGAGTAAAAGTATATTTTAACTAATATTATATTAATCCTAAATAAAATTAATTAAGAACTAACCTTTTTCAAAATAAAATTATAGAAAGATTTTAACAAAAAGCGTATAAGGGGACGCGAGTTCTCTCGTCGGCCGTCGCACCTCCCTCAGCGGACAGCATGGTGTTCGTGTAGTGCGGATGACTCTGATCGTTCGGCCGTGCTTCGGTATTGTGGAAACTGAAGTAATGGAAAGAATTGCGAGATTCCATAATGTATTGTAATAGATGCTGTGAAAATCAATCTCAGTTCTTGAGATCCTACAGGCCGTTTTGCCATTGGTAATGAAAATCAATTTCTTTTTTCTCCTCAAATTCCATCCGCATTAATAGAATTATCTCGTGCTGTTTCAATCTGTTACTTGGACATCAATAACTACGGGTTTAGTTTCTAGATATTGGCTTCTGGACGATTGCTGTACCAAATAGAGAAGGGCCCGATGGGAAAATTTTCTTGTAATGGGGATTTTTTTTACTTTTGTTCACTGAATCGTTTGTTTAATATGAAAAATTCTTCTATCGGCTGTAGTGAAAATATTCTATTCTTGATATAATCGTCGGTGTTCATATCTTCCTGTTACCAAAGCTGGTGATTTCGGGGAATGCCGAATTAAGAAGCTTGGACACTTGCGCAAATAATATTGACACGACAAATCATCTGGTGTTTAAGGGTAATTTGAAGTGTTGGATCATGCACATATCTGCGCCGTAGGACTTCTGTTTTTACTGTTTTAACCATTGTTGTAACAGCTTAATGATGATGTTATTACTTGTTTTGTTGGAGAACTGGAGTTGTTTTTTTTTTTTTTGGTTAATCTGACACCCGCGTGCATATGATTTTGTTTATCTAGTACAGCCGGAGCCATCGCAGGTGCCATCACTGGTGCTTCAGCTGCTAGTATATTTGGAAAAAAATGGTGATTTTACTGCAAAGTGAATTGACAAATCAGGGCATATCTGCTTCTGGTTGTCAAAGATGGCATGCATTGAAGGTGCAAAATAGATCAAAGCGAAATTCTCCTCCCATCATCTAAGCAATGTTGATGCTTATTTGGCGAAAAGCCATCCCTGTAAATTTCAACCACCCTTCAACATTATTGAGATCCACATCCTTCTCACGGTCTTCTTCCTCTTCTCCCTTATCTCCATCAGATCCATGTATTATCAACACCATTCTCAATTGCAGAACCCATAATGAAGCACTATGGTACTTCAACAATGCTTCCAGGCGAGTTAATGCAGCAAGGAATCCCCAACTTTATGCTGCTATGATTCACATCTTAACAGGGGCTAAGCAGTATAGTGAAGCCAGGTGCTTGACAAAACACCTCTTTCAGAAGCTCCAAGAGTCACAAAATCCCCATAGCACATGCTCTTTTCTCTTTGGTGTTCTCATTCATTTAGAGAGTTCTAAATTCAGCACCAATGTATTTGGAGTTTTAATTGTTTCCTTGTGCGAGATGGGTCTTGTTGAGGAAGCCTTGTGGGTGTATAAACGGATAAGAATTTTGCCTATGTTGCAGGCTTGCAATGCACTTTTACATGGGTTGCTCAAGCTAGAAAGATTTGATTGCATGTGGAAGTTATATGAGGACATGGTGTCACTTGGTTTTTCTCCTACGGTTATTACTTATGGCATATTAATTCATTGTTCTTGTAGACAAGGTGACACAGTGAAAGCACACAAGCTGTTTGACAAAATGGTGGAGAAGCGGATTCAACCGACTGTTGTGATATACACAATTCTTATACGTGTCCTTTGCAATGAGGGTAGAATGGCAAAAGCAGAGGACATGTTTAGGTTGATGAGAGAATCTGGTGTAGTTCCAAATTCATACACTTACAATACCCTAATGGATGGTTATTGCAAGATTGCTAATGCTAAACGAGCTTTTGATTTGTTTCAGGACATGCTTCATCATAGCTTGCACCCAGACGTTGTGACGTTTGCTATACTAATAGATGTTCTGTGCAAAATGGGTAAAACGAAAGCTGCCCAAAAGTGTTTTGCTTATATGGCAAAATTTGGTATTGTTCCTAATGCCTATATTTATAATTCCTTAATTGATGGCTACTGCAAGGCTGGAAACTTGGATGAAGCAATGCGTTTAGGACTAGAAATGGAAAGATTGGAGGTTTTGCCAGATGTGTTCACATACAATATACTTATCAAGGGTCTGAGTGACTCTGGTAGATTGGAAGAAGCTAATGAAATATTGCAGAAAATGGACACAGCAGGGGTGCGTGCAAATTCCGTGACATACAATATAATCATTGATGGATACTGTAAAGAGGGAAATATGGAGAGGGCTGTTAAGACGTGTTCCCAAATGTCCGAAAGTAAAATAGAACCTAATGTCATCACATTTGCTACATTAATTGATGGGTTTTGCAAGACAGGAAATATAAAAGCCGCAATGGGTTTGTACACAGAAATGGAAATCAAAGGTCTTGTGCCTGATGTGGTTGCTTACACAGCATTAATTGATGGGCATTGCAAGGATGGAAACATGGACGGGGCTTTCAGGCTGTACAAGGAGATGCTAGATGCAGGATTTACACCCAATGCTTTTACAGTCTGTTGTTTGATTGATGGCCTTTTTAAAGATGGAAGGACTTCTGATGCAATTGAACTATTCTTGGAGAGAACTGGGGCTAGTTACTCTAGAGATCATATGGATAATTTGGATGAGGAAAATGACATTTTTTCTCCAAACAGGGTGATGTACGCCATCATAATTCAAGGTTTGTGTAAGGATGGACAGGTCTTCAAGGCCACTAGGTTTTTTGCAGATATGAGATCTTGCAGTTTACAACCGGACATGTTAGTATATGCCAACATGCTGCAGGCACATTTCCAATCCAAGCACATGCTAGATGTGATGCTGTTGCATGCAGACATGCTCAAACTGGGCGTCATGCCGAATACTTTTATTCATCGTGTACTGTCTAGGGGCTATCAAGCAAATGGATATTTGAAGTCGGCTCGTATGTGCTATGAGAACTTAATGGAATATGGTATTCACTGTTCTTGCAAGTAGTAGTTTGTGCTGGCTACTGAATTACTGAAACATGAAATTCTCGGTAATGACTCCGTTCCGAAATATTAAAACATGCAGTATGCTTCATGTGCTGAAGATAAATTATTAGGAAGATTTAACAAATGGCGTCAGTTAGTTATAATCGTAACTTTAGCGTTCGGTTGTGCTGGAGATGAATATTCCGGTTCTGTTTGTATCTTCAACGCTGCTCCAACATTCCGAATGTTGGGCTAGGGAAGATGCATCCCTGTTTCTGACTTTCCGTTTGTGACAGGGATCTTGTCATTCTTTAGATAGGCTCTTCTTTGTTGGTAGCAAGAAAAATGACATGAGGGATAGCTTATTTAGGAACTCATGTCTGACTCTTGGGTACGAGGATGAACTTATATCGACGACGAGGAAACAGCGTTCACGGGACATCAATAGCTGTCACTCATCTTGAATTCAGCTTACCAGACAAGCCTCATATTGGCTGGAAATGGTTCTTTCAGTTCAATGAAGCAAATCCTTAAACAAAGCACCTTTAATGCAACTGTTACACCAACCTCTGCTTAGAAAGATAGCCAGGAAGCATATATCAACCGCAGATGTCAGAGACATGGCTTACAGTACCAGTGGGGGCCTTGCAATTTTCCAGTAATAGATGTGTGTGATATAGGCATGTGGTATTTTGCTGGAAGGTTATGTTTACTGTAGCATTTGATGAGAAACAGGAGAGCTTATGACTACTTGCCTACCAATGACTCCCAAGTCCTAACCCAAGAAAGCACGCATAATCATAGGATCGTCTTTTGTACAGAAAAGAATGTTTTCTGAAAAGAAAGTGAGGGGGAAAAAAAATTAGCAAGTACATTACCCTATGATTAGCGATTCACGTTCCCATTTCTTTACTAAACAATACATTTCCCCATACCAAACATTGCTTCAGATTTCTCTATTTTTGCACAACACAAAACATACAGAAGCATAGTATGGTCTTCGTTACATGGGAAAGATCTTATTCATGTGTTGCGTCCATCACTGGTGCTTATTCTTCCTGGTTGAGTAGACATGGGATCCCGTATTTGAGGGTCTACATAGACTTAATACTTCAAACAGAGATAATTACATTATTAACCTTCAGCTGTACAAAATTCCCCTCCCCAATTTTAGGAACTCGTCGTTTGCAAATAGCGAAATATCGTACAATATGCATGGGCCCAAAAATATGAGCTCGAAATGAAAAATAGATAAACTATACATATTGTCTGCAGACAGGACATGAATCATTCTTGACAAGCCATCGGTCCACACAGTTCAAGTGAAACGTATGATGACATCTAGGTAAGCTCCTCGCCACCTCTCCTACTTCAATATCCTGCAAATTTCATTTTCTTTTAACCATGTTAAATGCCATTGTATTCACTATTCTTTGATGAAAAAGTTGAATAATAAGATAATAATTCTAGGAACTGCTAGCTCAATCAAATGCATCTTTGGAGTTAAGTTATCCACGAATTCAGAAGCAAAGCAAGTAACAATTATCAATGAATAAGCACACACGGATGATTACTGGCGAGCACAGAGATTCAACAAGGATTTTATCCGGTATAATCAGTGCACTGGGAACAATGAATAATCTAGTATAATTGCGATTCTTTGTTGATTCTTTGTTCTTTTACGTAATTATATATTGACATTGCTATCAAAATGAGAAAAAAAGTAGAACCTGCAAACATATTGTGCAGCAGAGATTCTCCGTCTTCATGTCCTTTAAGATAACATGGTGTGGTAACTTCTTCAACGAATCCCCAGACAATCCTCTAGGTGAAACTAAGCTATGAACCTCGGGGATCTCATCGTAGCCTGTATTAGCAACCCCAACCTGTTGAAATAAAAGAAAATGATCACATATCTGGAAGTAGCTATTCTTCTGCAGACAGAAAAACAAATCTCGGGAGCAACAATTAAACGCTAAACATCTGCATGTATTATAGCATTTAGAACAATCAACATAACTAAAGTACAAAAAGGTTCTTAGTTTTATGTGGGGAAAAGTAAAATATGGCCTGTTAAGAATGAAAATCCAACCGGTCTCCTATGTGTGGTTCCAAAAACTAAATAAAAGTGGAAGTTAATAATCAGGGGAATTATAACATATCAAGTCTACACATACAAATGCGTCGGGAATCACCATAAAATGATTAAACTTAATTCGAAACACGCGCTGCATCAGCGGAAGGCAGCGGACATCATCATATTTAGTTACATTCTTTCACAGATACTCTCTTTTCGGAACCCCTTCCCCCCCCCCCCCCCCCCAAAAAAAAAAAAAAGAATGGCAAGAAAGAAAGAGAGAAAAATGAGCGGGAAAAACAGGGAGTAAAACAACCTGCCAACTGTAGGCAGTGAGTATAGTTGGTGTAGATTGTTCCTCTACAAGCCTCCCACGAACAAGTTGCTCTATGAAATCTGCCTGAATCCAAATGGTAGAGAATTGATTTATTGCTAAAGAATTAAGACCACCTACTAGATTATTTAAAATGTCACCCAATGAACAGTCACGGAAACAAACACAGGGCATAGAAACATCTCCCAAGTAGGAACGTTTTAAACGACAGACTAATCATCTTGTGCCATATAAATTTGCAACTTACATATATCCACTCATCAAGAGCAAAAACAGTTTTAAGAGTCCAGGTAAAACTGAGACTCCAGAGCAAAAGTTCTACCAACCATGGATGATGAGCTCCTTGAGCCAGTTTGCTCTAAACACCAATAGGCACGGGAAGCTTCTAACACCTCGACAGATATTATAGCTCCAGCAATGGCCCCCAGTGAAGCTCCACGGAGAAAACCGCTCTCAGAAGCCCTACTCGCTAATGCGCCAGCTATAGCTCCTGTGATGGCTCCAGCTGCAATCGGAAATGGCATGCAGGCAGATGTTGGCTTAATAAAAGAGCACTTTACTGCCTTAACGACGTTCTAGTAGCAATAAAAGATGCTATTAAAATAATAAATTTTCAGTAAAACCGATTGACTAAGTAACAAACAAACAACGAAAGAATGTATTCCAATTTCAAACAGAAAGTTGCTCCTTGTTTTCCAATTGATGACGGGAAGCGTCAGGAATTAATAGAAACCAAACGAAAATCACACAAGGGTCTTCAAATCTTTAAGCAGCCGAAGCAATCAAGAGAAAGGTTAAAAAGCACACAAAAATTTCAAAAAAAAAAAAAACGAAGAGAACAGTTATCGTCACCAATGGCAAAACATCCCGTGAGAGCCCCAGAAATGGCGGATAATATCAATTTCGATACAAAATGGAACCTCCCAACTCTTTCGACCTCTTCAGCTTCCATAATACTGGGAATCAACGTAGCAGTGACAAATAAACTTAGGTCGCTCTGTGCTGTCAAGAGAAGATGGGCAAACGAGCCCTAGCGGTTACATTAGGAGGAGTAGAAAAGCCGACATTTTCGGGGCAGCAGCACAGTCATCTACGGAAAAACGAAGTGAAGATTGTTGGGAGTGTTGAGGATAAAATTGAGTGTGTGCAGACGAGGAAGGAAAGCGAGAAAGGTTCTGGGACGGAACTTGATCGGCGAGAGGCAACAGGGAAGCGGTAGCGGAAAGACGCCTCTCCCTTGAAATCCTGAATCATTCAAATTCTTTTTTGGTCAAACCAGCAAGATAAGATTCGTTTGTGCCAAACCTAATAAAATACAGAAATTCCATTCATAATGTATTCTTTTTTTTTTTTGGGAAAAAATAATTTATTTCCTCCATCCTTAATTATAACTTTGTAAAGGCTTGTTTGGGGATTACCTTTATTAAGGTGGTGATTGATTTCCCCAAAGTGTTTTTAAAAGTACTCTTATAACAAGTCGAGATAAAATTTCTCACATATTTATTCATATATTATAAAATTACTTTTAAATTTATAGTTTGATTTTCACTCAAACATCCCATAAATGTTTATAAGCACTTTTATGCAAGTCAGGATGAAATTTCTCTTATATACTTGTCTCATGTTCCATAAATCATTATTAAGAAACTATTCTTGAATACTCTAATCACAAAGTATATATGTTTAAAAAGTTTTATGATAAATAAAACATATTTTCACATATATTTCTAATAAATTGTTAAAATCTTATGGCTCACTTTCTGCCAAAAAAAAAATTAAAGACATGAAAAATTATGACATTTAATTGAGGATAAAAGAAATAAGAAAATTTTAGACATAAGCTAAACGCCTACTTCCTCCAATTTATATTTTAAAAAAAAAAAGTTAATACATTTTTTTAAAAAATTTATATGTGTAAAACATATTGAAAATATAAATAACATTACACAGCTACTGTAGCGCCTCGTATAAAAATATATTAGATGTTAATCTTATTGCTGTTGGAATGTTCTTCTCATCTTGGGCTCTCTGTTGCGTTTGGACAATTCTTTAATAATGCGTGCTATGTTGTATAAAATACATGCGTGTGTGGGTGTGTGTGTAACTAACAAACACGATTATTTTAAGAATATAGAGTGTGAAACTCAAACAAAACAAAAAAAAATGAAACTCTCAAATAAGAAGGCTCCCTGGACACTACTAGCAGCAAAAGTAGAAACGTTCCTTTCCATGTTCCTCTGTATCAATAATCTGCTTATTTCAATGCTTAAAAAGATTAAAATCACACAGATGCAGTGTATACAAAATCTGTGTTTGTACACACCCTAAAATTTATACTAAAAAAAATCAAGCAGCTCATTTAAAATTTCATATAAAGCATGTGATTCATAGTTTTAGTCTAAAGTAAACTAAAGGAGGTTGTCTTTCAAGCTAGCTTCATTTCTAGATCACTTGTAACCGAGACAGATAGGAACGGCCTACCAGATACGGATAAAGCCAGGAATGAAGCAAAGTGGCAACAGCTGTCAATAAGAGAGAAATCGTGTAATGCATACAACTATCCTTTTATGCTTACAAAGCAAAATTGCTTTGCAACATGAGAGGCTACAGGGCTTTAATTTGAACAGAGCTGTTTCCGGCCCACCAAAAATATTATTCACACATTCTACACAAACTACGCTTCTCATCAGCAGCCTCAGTTCACGGATATTGCTTAGCGAGACCACACGATGTCTAATATGGCTGCTTGTTCACGGATATTGTCTGTCAAGATCATACAGAGTAAATTTTGTGAGAACAGTATTTAAATCATGCTTGAGCATATAATTTCTGAGTTTGATTACTACTCTTGGAATAATTCTGAGTTATCCTCATTGCGGCCAACAAAAGCCCGTGAAGGTAAGCGTTTGAAGTGGTGGGGTTCATCAAGATATCTATTTTAGTGGATTTCACTTGACTATTTGTGCCTATCATCAAGACATGTAAGAATTTCCCCTCCTTTAACATTGCATTATATGATTACTTCAGAAGCAATGTCCACCATTATATATATTCCTTGACTCTCTCCTACAACGGCGGCTCAAATTTTCACGTTCAACACCCAATCAGAACTTTCTATGTAGATAGTTGATGGAAAAACCTTTATGGCGGATGAGATTACAACTTACATCACGGGTAAATGTACAGCATCCTCAGGAAGTGCGCTATACAGCAACTGCTTCGGGCCTTCTGCTGGTTTTGATTCCTCTTATTGCTGCGAATTCAGATCATGAAAATACATCAAGATGATATTAAATTGCCTTGCATTACCATACATGCCCAATCACACGAACAAACATTTGGTCTTTGGTGTACCTTCAGCATAATCTTTAGCTCCAAACACAGCAGAACCAGCAACCAGAGCATTCGCTCCAGCCTCAATCACCTGCCAAAACAGATTTTACTAAAAGTTGGATCTTGCAAGCCAAATGGTCCAGCGTGTGGCTTACTAGTTGGAAGGTCCTTCTCCCAATTTGCCACAAAATTTTTCATAATTATTTACTTTCTCTACATGCAGGGTAGACCCGGTTGTTTTCGTATATGTGTTTGTGGTTATCTTCCCCAAGAAGGACGTCAGTGATCCTTATCCGTTAATCAGATTATTTTCAGTATGGAGAACAAATGTTGGAAATCTTGTTCATATATACACAGATCGAAGATGATATAAAGCATAAGGTACCTTGTAAGCATTTGCTGGACCAACTCCACCGTCCACTTCAATCCATGGATTCACTCCCTGAAAAAAGAAATGCAGTTAGAATTTATGGAAAAGAGGAAAGTTGAAACAAACAAAATATTACATCATACCTTTTCCGCACAAAGTCTTCTCAACTCAGAAATTTTCTTCACTTGGCTCTCAATAAAACTCTGGCCACCAAACCCGGGGTTGACGGACATAATCAAGACCAGATCGACCACTGTCAACAACTAAGTACACTTTAGTTCTCCAAATTTATTTAGCACCAAAATCATGGGAGATAAGGTGTAGTTCATCCACCGAAACCATGATATACATTCTTTGCGAATGTCCATTCAAAAACAAAACTATAGTTACCACAATCATCTGAGATGCGTTGATGCACTTGATCACTAATGTATTAATTTTTGTTTCTAGTTTCATATGAAGTACAAGCTCTCCACTTGCAAGTAGTGTCAGAACACAGTCAATTATTATGTCATATCATATAAAGATTCATTTATAGCGCATTAATTTATTAAGTGATGGAATTCATAGTTTACTGACAGCTTCTACTATGCTATCTTTTCTATTCTGAACCAGTCCAAGCCAAGGCTTGGTTTGTTCATGGCTGATACAGCAGAGTTTTTAGAAATCCATATAAGCCACAGATCAGACAAAGCTCATAATGCACAGTGTTTATATTCTCATTTTATAATAAAAAGAAGTAGATACACAAATAAAATGGAAAGAGAACTGCAATCGCTTACCATCAAGGACATATTCAATCGCACTTAATGGGGTAGCAGGGTTTAGGACAACTCCAGCTTTGGCTCCCAGGCTTTTTATCTATGTCAAGAGAATGCAGTGAGCTAAATCGAACAACTAAAGTTGGCAAACATCTTTCCAAGGAACCATTTCTGAACTCTAATAAATGAGAGCCTTCCATCATTTAGTTGGAAGCGTGTAAGAGCAAGCAGAGCTAGAAAAAGAGACCAGCTCTGAAATGTACGCAACAGTAACACCAAATATTTCGTGCAATGGCGAAAGATAGCATCAGACAAGGGAAAAATTACGAGCATGTATGAGGATGCAAAACCCAATCATTTGGATAATTATCATTTTCTTTAGCATCCTCAATACTGAATTCAGCGTGGAGAGCCAAACTGCACCTTATCAGGAGCAATACGGGTAAAGACAAATCCATATAGCTCTGGCTACCTGAGGAAAACTATTCCTCCTACAGTATTGTATAATGACCTAAATAGGTCATTAATCATCATTAACCCAAGTCCCAAAGCTCCCAAGAAAGGTAAAATAAAAAGAGCGAAATAATTTTGTTATCACGTGTTCATCCGAGAAAAATTTGAGACCATGTATGAGTGGGGTTTTCCTTTTTTAAAAAAAAAAAAAGAAGAAGAGGTTTTACTCTAAATCCAGTAATGGTTTAAGAATTGCCCTGATCAAGCATATAATGGCTATAAGTTTATTCGAAGATTCCCCTCTTCTGAGCCCAAATGCTTGATGCAAAGGAGCACTTTCAAACATCCAGAGAAAACGTGCTCATAAAACATAATTGGGTTGATATTCTAAACAACAAAAGGGAATTGCAATGGGGCCATTTCTTTAACCATCCCTCAACTTGTTTTTAAATTTTACCCAGTCTCTTCATCCACATCATGATTAAGTAGGTACGCAGCCACTCCAAATAACTAACTAACTAACTAATAAATATTATATTAGTGACAGTGAAGACATTGATTAACTCTTTTGAGATTTAGATTGCATCTCCCAACATCAATATTAAGTGGGGTGATTACTGGTCCTTTACAGAATGTTCAGAAATTATGTGTCAAACTTTACAGACTTTAAACAAACTTCTAGTTCCTCCAATTTTACAAAAGCTTGCCTTTTGTTAGTCCCCTTGGTTTTGATTGCAGTGGCATTGCTCAAAATGTAGATGGATCAGAGAAACTCTTACTTGATTAACTGTACGATGTAAATGGATGGTGGAAGATTGCTCGCAATGAACACTGACTATGTCAGCCCCAGCCTTGATAAAATCTGGAACTCGCTGTTCAGGTTCTACGATCATCTACAGTTATTAAGTGTGCATCAGAAAGGGTGCAAGTTATTCAATCTCAGATTGATTTCATATACGTATAAAGATGAATACCAAGTGCACATCCAATGGAAGGTCTGTCACAGGCCGCAGAGCACCAACCACAAGAGGCCCAATTGTAATATTTGGTACAAAACGACCATCCATTACATCAACATGGATCCAATCACAGCCTGCTAATTCCACAGCTTTTACCTAGATAACATGAGTCAAACTTCATCAAACATTATTGACAAATTAAAATCAGAAACTTGTTAATTATAACTTGCAGACTTGATAAGATGATTATATAGTTAGACTTTGTTGAGCGTTCAAACAGAAAGTGTCCTAGGTGTTTAGTAGAAAAACTAAAATCTGGATACAAGCTAAAGCAATTAGAGATGATAACCTGCTCTCCCAGCTTTGCAAAGTTAGCGGAAAGAATGGAAGGAGAAACAATGATGTCACTTTTAGAAAACTTGTCAACACGGGACATAGCCTTCACTGTAGTAGTCATCTTCCTTCTAAATCCACAAAATAGCAAGTAATTAAAACCTATAAAACGTCAAGATATCCTCTACATTGAAATAACAAAAGGCGTACGTAGCAAACCATGAGTAATATTACATAGGTCCTATGAGCATGGCATGACTATGAATTGCATGCACATGCACTTCGCTGAATACGCATTCATCCTGCATAAAATCATTTCAGTACTCAAACTGAATATAAAGTGACTGACAAGTGGATGGATTTCAACTGAATAAAGCAGTGGATTTAACGTTTATTAAGCCTATTATAGTATGGACGGAACACTTCAAACATCATCAGTTGATCTTAAGTATAGAAAGTGGAAACAAGAGCCATTTGAGTCTTTTTTCACCACCATAGTAGGTTATTGATGTCCTATTGAATGAATATGAAAACATGACAATGCATGCATGTGGAGTGGAGTAAATTAAATCGTACAATATTCTCATAATCATGGCGCTATGCGGAATTGGGGTTATTAAAATATCAGTAAGGCGTGATACATAAAAATTGAAGAATGAAACCTTAATTTGGAATGTAACTCTTTGTTCATGCAGAGGTAATTCTTTTCCTAAAATCTTTTTTTAATTTAAATCAGTGGAAAAGAAGCGCATAATTTCCTAAATTCTGCAGGTCTCGCCAGCAAAAACAGATCCTCTCATCCAGAATAAGTTACTACCAAGGACACCCATCACCGCACAAGGGATTCAAGAACGTTTCAAGAAAATGGCGGTTATAATCAACAATCCAAGGTATGCACAGAAGATTTATGAAATGTTCAGCATTGGCATTTTTCATAACAACACAATTGCTTCCCAATTACACAATTTCTAATAAATGACAGCAATACCTATAGAAAGTGACGGAACGCGGTTGAAAGAGAGAAGTCTTTTGAAGCTTGACTCCCCCAGCCAATCCATTGACTTGAGATTGGAGCGTCGATGAACATAATGAAGTTGTCGCCATCTCCGACTTTTCTTCTCTTCTCTTCTCCTGAGTACGCAGTCTCTAAGTCTCCCTCGCGATTCAATTCAAACGTAGGTAGCTCGAAAGAGTTAGGTATCTTATCCCTTTGGCCTCCGCCCTCTCTCAACCGCGCTTCAGCGCCTACTACGTCCGGTGGAATTTAGAGCGACCAAAAATGATGAAAGTGAAGCATAAAAATATCCAAAAATCGTGTGGCTGACACGTGTTGTTTCGTTTTTGGTGGGGATTTGCTTATCTGCAACGGTTGGCGCTCCTTTTTCCTCCCCATGTTGCTGACCGAGACTCTTCTCTGGCTATCACTTAGACCCCACATTTGAATTGTCCAAATGATATTCATACCACGTCTGATTTTAATATTTTGTTTATTTAAATTAATTTTATCAGTATTATATTAAGAACATCTAACAAGTGATCCAAATTTCATTAATCCGATGAGATGTGCAGTAAAATTCTGTGATATAACCAACGGTTACCTAACATCCGGTGTGGTTGTGTACCAAAAAAGGAGGGAAGGGAAGCAGACACAAACCCACTGACATTGGAAATTATATTTCAATTTCTTCTTCCCTTTTTATATTTTTTGTAATAATAGTATAAAATATTACCTCTTATTCTAGTCATAAGATCTAGTTTATACTCCAAATTATATCTTATATGTAAGACTGGAGGTAGGACATAAAAAAATAAATTCTGCAAGCCACAAGACAATCTACTTTAAAAAGAAACATTAGAGAATATCTTAATGTGGATTTTATAGTTAGAATTATAATGAATTCAATATAAAATTGTTAATTGATTTGATCAAAATTATGGACCATAAAATTAAATGAGACAAAAAAAAAGACAAATAATTAAGGTAAATGACAAAATACGGATTAAATATTTAAAATTAGAACAGTATTCATAAACCAAGCCCACAAGATGATTACGTAGATAATACCTCTTCGAGGTCGTAGGGGACATCAAACTATCAAAGTGCGTTGAATACAGCATATTTTATGTTAGCAAAAAGTCCCGGTTTGACAATACAGTTCCAAATATATCAATAACCCTTTTCTCGCTCGTGTGTGTGTGAGAGACTGAATTTGAATATCAAATTTAAATTTTTTTATGGGGTTATATTTCCACTCTTAACACTATCCGTGCTCTATATCATTCTCACTGCCATCTTCAGAGGAAGAATTGAAGGATATCTTCCCAAATAAGGAAACGATTTTCCACTTCTTGGCTAGATATCCGTTCCACTTCATCGTGGATTGGATCAGATTTTAGCTTGTTACTTTGAATGAGAATCTGTTCTCTAACATGAACCAGCGGCAAGGTATTGTAAGTTCATCTGGAAGTCAGGAATTAAAAACAGTAACGATTGCTTCTTTAAGCTCAGGGTATCTTAAGAAAGTAGGAAACATGTATTAGGAATCTACCCTACCTTCACAGGAGAGATGCTGAGCATCTACCAGTCCAACCAAGAAAGATAATAAATTTGGGGGGGGGGGGGGAAAGAGAGAAGGAAAGAAAAAGAAAAGACTTCACAAAATATTGCGCGCAACTTTTTGACCATTAAGATATGTCAAATCTTTGGGATCCATTCAGAATCAAATATCATGTCAATTCTTCCACGCATTAGAAAACAAGCCTAATATACATACGGGAAACTGTTTATTTAAATCATAAACCAGTCTCATGAGACAATGAAGCGACCTCCAATCACTTGATCAGGGAACAGTTAAAATGCTCTCTTCATTGAAATCAGCTTCATTCTAGTCGAAGGCTCAGTTCTTAAGATAATATGGTACCCATGCCTGAATCATCATTCATCACCGAAACATGTGTCAGCAATTGTGTCTAAATGGACAAGAAATAGGGTACACAAGGTGTTAATTTAAGGAGTGAAAATAGAGAGACATACGTTGACTTGAAAGGGGCACTTGTAGCTCCAACAGGTGTGCCAAAAGCAACATCCTGAAATGGCCCAGCCATCTTTCCTCGAGGAAACCAGCCGAGGTCACCACCTTTCTTTCCTGATGGACATTCTGAATACTCTTGTGCTATCTGTAAGGACACCAAGACTATATTGCTCATGATTTGTCATAAAAAACAAATAATTTTATTCCTCTTTTTTCATGCGACGGAACTTGTCATGAGAAGCAATAGTTCATATAAAAGTCACTGTCCAAGGCAGTACTAAAACAGTAAAACTCACTCTTATTTCACCTTGTTTCCAACAGAATGATAAAAACTTCACACCACTAACAAAAGGTAATAGTTTTCTTTCTTGGATAAAGGGGGGGGGGGGGAAGAAAAAAAGAAAATAGCTGTGATACGTAATTTCTAGAACAATAGTGATCTCTGCTAAGTTGACACCAAATTCAGCAGGTACGATAGTGTACAGAAAACATGAGACAAATATATGACAGGGAAAAAAATCAATGTAGCACATCCTAGAGAAATTCACCTTTGCAAACTCTGCTGGTGGCACTTTATCTCCATTGCTAAGCCAACCATCCTGCAGTTTCTTGTATGCCTCGTTGATCTTTCCTTGCTTCTCACATAAGACATGCCTTGCTGCAGCAAAAAGAAAGCCAAAGGGAAACATAAATACAAAAATAGAGTAATAAAAAAAAAGTGATTGTACAGTTTTCTATAACAAGTACTCAGAGAGGAAAGAAGTTGTTGCCTTTGACATAGGTGCAGGTACCTAGCCCATCTGCACCCTTCCCACCTTTTCCCTTGCCCTTATCATCACTTCCACTTGCTGCCTGTTTCCCCTTTCCCTTCCCGGAGTCCTTTGGCTTTGAATCCTTTCCCATGCCTCTCGGCAACTAATTACTTGTTTTCTTTCACTAAATAAGTAAAGCAAAATTTTCTAGTTGAAAAATAAAAAATAAAAAAAAGTTCACCCAGAACTTCAAGGGACAAACAAAAGTGAATCATAAGCAATAAGGATAATTCAAGTAATCATAAAAGATTCAAACTATAAATCCTAAACCATGGTATTTTTTTTCTTTCATAGCACCTTATTGCTACTAGAGTTAGGAAAATCTATCAAGCTAGCATAGATACACACACCACGACTTTAGCATGGCAAAAATAATTCAAAAAACCCCAAGTCATTTTGAGCCCTTGAGGCCCCATTACAACCTTCTAAAAGTAGAACTAGGAAACAGACAACACCATCATAATGGCTTGCTGGATTAAAAATACATAATTCCGGAGCTGTTCTGGAAAAATGTCTCAGATGTCAGACAATGTAAATAATTTACGCACACACATGCAAGACAAAACACTTGTCATCAGTTCCATGCCATACATAAAATAGCAAAAGAAGGCTTCATGCAGCAGTGAAGCCGTGGGCACCATCTCAGAGATATTGAAAGTAAGTTAAAAGTGAAAATCCGGGTAATCAAAGAAAAGCGCTATATGAATAATGGTAATTGAAGATTCATCCTTATCAGTGTAATGCCCATCCTGCAAGAAAGATACTACAGAGTCCTGACCACAAGTTCAAAAAATCGTGGTTATTTCTACATAGAGTGTAATCACAAATATGTGGAAGGAAGAAAAAAAGAATAACACAACAGAGTCTTCTATTATTTCAAAATGGAAGCTCTCTAGAATCGAGATCAAAATAGAAGTTATATCTGATTTATGATCTCTTGCATCACTTTTCGTACAAGTTAACACTACATGGCAGATCGATCAGATCTTCCCATCATTCAAATCCCCGCCACGAGAGAGAGAGAGAGAGAGAGAGAGAGAGTATAAATTGTAGTGCCTCCGCCCATGTCATAATAATGATAGTGATAATGAAGAAGTAGAAGCTCGAGCAAAACAGAAGCGCGAACGCCCATTGCCAACTAATTGAGGAATTCCAGGGGAAAAAGAAATTAAAAGTAAGACTTTCCTAGTTAATCAGAACCACAGACATGCCCAGAAACCCTAAATTGAAAATCAAACTAAACCGCTCCAAGAAGCGGCATTCCATAACGCATAAATAATTCAACGGAAACACGTTTCCAAATGCAAAACCTGGAAATCGTGAAGTGGTGAGTAATGGAAGCTAACACTGACCGCATAGAAAGTTCTATTCATTCCAGTAAGCATATTTAATACAAATCATTCCAAGGAATCAGCGCCAAAGTCCAGAGAAAAAAATATATATCACGAAAAGACCAAGTAAAAAGGCGAAAACCAACATAATCATTGGAAAACAACGAATCCAGAAACTGTGTTTACTTCTCAGTTCTCACCTCTATCTCCAACAGAGCTCAAGTCGGAGAGATTCTCAAGCGCGACAAAGCAGAAGTCGAAAGGAATATCATAACAATAATAATCTACTTCGTCGTCGGCTAGAGAATCAGGGGTCATCTGTCTGTTTACATTATTGACCCTGACGAAAGGTTTTGCTAGGGGTATTTTCGTAATTACACTGATGAAAGATCTACGTGTCATTACAGTGATGACAAAGCCATCCGGGGAAATTCTAGGCTAACGCCCGGTGTGCCATCACATTTATGCATTAGCCAATAATATTTTGACACCTCATACTTGTCGGCCCACATGTCACACCTTCCCTTTCTATTATTTAAATATTTTTCTAGTACTATGTTTTTTTTTTTTTTCCCTCCCGTCTAACCTCTCCACCATCTGCAAATTTTTTTCCCCAAAACTTTCACCATGGTTTACAGCCACTCCTCCCATTTCTCTTTCCCCCACCACGCCACTCTCTCTCTTTCATCTTTCCCTTCCCTCATCTCCTCCATCTCTGATATGTGATCTTGTCTCAATGAGAGGCCCTATGGAGGTTCTGATATATCACCCTGCACGAGTTTGTGGGTTTCACTACTCATATCTTTTCTCCCCTCCATCTCTCTCTCCTATATGGTGTCTGATTTGTTTGGAAGATATGAAAAAGAAAGAGACGCTTGCAGCTTGTGAGAAATCAGTATCTTGTTCTGTACCTCCTCCGGCATCCACATGCCAGTCACTGATTACTAGCTCACCAAGCTTAGAGATTAGCGTCGTCACCTTTCGGAGACGGTGATGCAGCGGTCACGGTCGGCGCAGACCCTGATCCTTCCGTGGAGTGCCCCATTTTCCAGCTGGAATCGGCGATTTAAGCTACTCCCCTGGATTCCGATAGAGGTGGGTCTCATGATATCCACTTGCCTGAGAGAGGTAGATGGGAGGAGTGGGGGTACTTGAGAGAGGGAAGAGAGATGGGAGGAGTGGGGTACCTGAGATGGAGAGAGGGAAAATAAAAGTTTTTAAAAAACAATTTTGTGGACAGGAAAGAGAGTAGGAGAAAGAAACAAGTATTTCTAAAAGAAATTATTGAAATAACAGAGAGGGGAGGAGTTACATGTGAACTGACAAGTAAGATAAAAATTCATTGAGCTGTTTAAATTGTTGTGTATGCAAAACTCCAGTTTCTTTACATAAATGTCACTAGCCAGTGCATAAATGAGGAGGTACATTGAGCGTACATAAGAAATTGTCGGCCATCCTGGCCTAAGAAATTCAAATTTATTAGTGAGGAGAAGGAATTGTAGCTGGGAACAAGTAATATTGAACTTGTTTATGCTTAACAAAGTGAGAAGATGTGGATCGTGTATTGTTATATCTGTTGTGACTTACCACACACGGAGAGGGAGAAACTTTAGCGTGTTTGTAAATATGCAATCCTCTCAATCATAGATCTCAAAAATCATATATGGGATCCTTGTTTCTTATTTTGGGAGCGGATAATTAAGAAACCCTTCTTAGGAGGTGGCCTAATTATCCTGTTTCCTCTAAATATGTGTGTATTCTTCTTCGTTACTTCTCTAATCAATAAAACTCATTTTGTAGTATAAATTATACTATAAAATGAGTCTTATATTTAAAACTAAAGAAATATTATTTTGAAATGAGTTGAACGTTTCCAAAAAAAATATTCTCTTTTGCATATTCTAATTTTTCAAAACAATAACTTAATTATATTTATTTTAACCATTCTAAATAAATTCATATATATCAACAAACTATTGATTGAAGTGGTAAGCGACCTCACTTCTACGTTGAGAAGTACACAGGTTTAAACCCTAAGAAATACACTTCTTGAAAGATACAAAATCATTTGTACTCTAAGCCTTAAAAAGAAAACCTTTTATCAAATAAAACAAAAAACAGAAAAAGACTTCATCTCTATAATTTTTTTTTAAGAAATTTTTTTTCCAATTTCCCAACTAAGGATGTGCAAAACCAAACCCAACTAAATTCGATTTTCAATTTGGTTCAACCAATTCTTATGCTATACTGATCTGTTTGGTTTGGTTTGAGAAATTTCTAAACCAAACCAAACAGAAACGTTTATGATGTGAATTTTGATTGATGGCTGAATGTAAAATTCATAAAAACCCGTATTATTAACAAGTACATTGAAATGAGATGAGCAATGCCACAGCCGACACTTAAAAAAAATCTAAAATATGCAATTAATTTACCCGGGAAATATTTTCATTAATTGGAAATAAGAGCTTCTTGAATCTCAGCAATGTAAATTGCTCCTACAGATGCATTAAACAAAGAAAAGACAAAACAAGATCCTATAATTGAAATTGGAATACATTTCTCAAAGCATCTGATTCTTTTCTTTTCTTTTCTTTTTTTTGGGTGGGGGGGATGGGGGAGGGCGACTAAAAATATATCACAGGGCTCCAAGCCATCCACAGATGAGTCATCCCAGAGAAGGATCCTCTATGAAGCCAATTTAAAGCTTTTTGTCCTTCAAGAGACATGACATTAGCTGCTTTCCTTTAAGGAGGAGAGCCAACTTGAAAACTACTCAGAGTCAGAATCCAGCCACTGATACGCATCTGATGGCTCAAAATCAGTCATAGAAGCAGGTGGTTTTTTACTGGATCGAGTCCGGCGCCGCCCTCTGTCTCTCTGTCTTCTTTCTTCCGGTGTAGGTTCCTGTCAAAATGAAAGGCTTGCATAACGAACATTGCGTCTTCTACCACATACCATTATTACTAAACTCAAAAACGATCTCTCGATACTATGTATTTGATTCAGGTCAACCAAAAAAAAAAAAGATACTATATATTTGATAATCTGAGGGGAAGATGCATATTCCTGCTGCCTAACAGATTAGAATCCAGAATAGATCGCCCTATTGTTGTAATTAAACTTGCCCTCATATTTGTTTCCATCAGCAGATAGCAAGGGAACCATGGAATTCCATTTATATAATAGAATGAAGATTAGACATAACATCATTTATGACCCCAAAAAAAAAAAAAAAGACATAACACCCTTAGTCCTCATATGCAAGTTTCTAACGGATCTTATCCGAGTCCTAAGGTCTACGAAAAGTATCGGCTGAATTGGAACGCCATTAGAAAATACAATACGAAAATGAAGCCGACAATTACCTCATGTCTAGGTTGATTGGAATCATTTGACTTAGCCAAATCAGCTGGTTGGCTCCTCCGCAGCCAGATGGTCCCCAGAGAAGTTAATGCTCCCAGAAGCAGAATTGGACCAACCCTAGGGTCCTCAAGGTAATCGTATAGTCCAGCAAGAACTTCCAAAACTCTCTGCTTCATATTTTTCAAAGGAATCTTTTGTGCTGTTCTGGACCAGACAGGTTCAGAGTCGTCTTCAACAAGCCGAGGGGTTCTTAGTGTCTACAAAGGCAACAAGGTACGTAGGATTAGCCAGAATTCTTAACGGATCGCTGACATTTATTCGTAACTTAAAATACTTACAAAGAATGGTAGATCTCTTGAGTCGCCATCCGCTATGATCCCTGCAATCCATTTGGTAATCTGCTAAAAAAAATGAACAAAGAAAAAGAAAAAGCATGAGAGAACAACATTTCTTTGACATGGTGTGACATGGTTAATTCTCACAGTATGCAAGATAATATGTTCATAAACACTGATTAGTTACAGAAGGAAATGTGAAATGAATCAAGGCAAGAAAATCAGGAATCATGCAAAGTACAAAACCTGTGAAATGTCATCTTCACCATTGTACTTAGCTACAAACTGGCCTGCCTGATCCCGATCCTTGAACAGATCTTGGTATAGGAATGAGTTCCATTTTGTTACTTCCTGTGTCCTCTTATCCACAGCAGTACTATTCCTTAAGTAACGGATGACTAATAAACGAGGTACATCATTCACACTCCTCCGTTGTCCACAAGTGTCATAGCTGGCCGCAGAACCAAGGTAAAAATGACAATAGTCCTAATAAGAGATTAATTATGCGTTTATGTTAGCAGCTGGGGCAGGAAACAATTGCAAATAAGGCGGAAAAAGCATCTTCATCCAGACAGATTAGTTAATATCTCCCGTCCTAATTATAAGACCTCATTTGTAAACTACAAACGAGGTCTTATAATTAGAACCAGAGGTAGTATTATCGTTGCCATTTCTTAATGATTCAATATACCTTGGCATTGATAAATTTAGAAATATAAAAATCAAGCAAAATGTTGCTTCGGTCATTTATAATTGTCACATAATTTTAGAAATTTTCAAGAAATGAATCTAATCCGTATCCATTAGATTCATTGAAGAATGCAAAAAACACTAAGTAAACTTATTATAGCAAGCAGACAACTAAATTTAATTAGAGCTGAAAATCAATAAATAAAAATATAACAAATGAAAGAAAAAAGATCACCTGTTGTTTTTCACCATCCAACCAAGCAAATGTCAATCGTTTTCTCTTAAATGCATCTACAGCTGGAGCTAAGGATTCATCTTCACATGGCCAATCTGACTTGGCATGCTTTGATAATGTTTCTTGAACCCTGCACATGGTCTATGAACTTATATAATTTACCTCTGCTAAACTTCAAAGAATAGATGCCTCTCAGGCCCAAAAAAAAAAAAAAAAAAAAGAATAGATGCCTCAAAAGACAGATATTTGCCTTTGCCCCTCAAGACAATAACAGTTAAGCAACCCATACAGTAGATCTATATTAGGAATTTAAACAGCATAAAAGTAACCCAACAATGACAATCATGACTTGCAATTCTCAATGAACCCAAATAAGGATAGTTTCAATTAAAAAATAGTTACATTGTGGGATACATAAAAGAAATTTGAAAGGTAAAGAGAAGGAAAACATACTTCACGCATTTTGTTCAATTCTGGACTTAGCCTTCCTACTGCAATAGCACAATACCAAATCAAAGTATCATATCCGGCACGAGAATAGCCATGGGGATCACAACCTAACTCCATCGATGTCACACTCCTCAGTTGTGGAAGTTCTGGGAAGGGCATAAACATATTATTAATAAAACGGATTGAAAAGTTGTAAGTCGTTGTGATTATGCCAGAATAACAGTGTATCATTTATTAGAGGAGAAGCAAAATATATACAGCATTTGCAAACCCAAGCAATGAAAGTATCAAAATAGACAGACTAACTAGTGAAGTGCTGGCATCTTGATGCATATTACTTTAAGACCCAAAGGTACATTCACTATCCACTCAGTTCTCTCTCCCTGTGTGTGTGTGTGTAATTTGTTCTGATGCAATAGATGCCAAAATCTTTTCCAACCAAAGTTCTGCGAAGGAACCTGGGGTACAAGAGTGAAGTATTTTATTTCACTTGGTTCTTTGGTTTAATCAAAGAAAAATGGAAGTTTAATGCATCAAATTTAGGAAAAGATCTATTCATGAAGAAGTCCCAGCCATATCACCTCCCAATCCTCCTTTCTCAACAAAATCCCAAACAAAAATGAAGGCAAATTTCTTTCTAAAAAAAGGTAGTTGACCAAAGAAATGGACAATCAATGGATTCAAAACCAAAAGTCTGGCTTACCCTGCTGTTTGTTACTTTCCATCAAATTCAGAAATATTGAATTGCTAACTGAACCTACAACGCAAAAATCATGGCATGGTTATTCGAGTGAAAAACAAAATATAAGTAACATGGTTCTCAGGTACTACAAGAAAGCAGAAAGAGACCATGGTACACAACAGGTTTGATGCCTGGGTCCTTAAGAAATACAATAGCAGGTGCAGATTCTACCCCAAATCTGCCATAAAAATCGAAGCAGAATTTCTCAAAATACTTGATAAACCATAAGCTGCTAAATATATTTGAACATTCATAGAGCCGTTCCTTCTTTATGGCCAGAGAGATATGTAGAATGAATTTTTTAAAAGTAAATTTTGGGAATTGAAAATTCTCACTTACGCTCCCAACCAATAAGAAGATTCCTCTTCTTGCCAAAGAATTAACGCAAATGAGGCAAAAGCCCAATACTCTTTAGCTGCTTGTCGTATAAATGGACTGGCACGCTCCCCAGTTGTCGAGAACAAGATGACTTTTACCTTTAAGACAGGGGTACAGGACTGTTAAACAAGTAACTTGGACAACATAACAAAAACTAAACAAAGGTCTACTGAAGTAAAGAGCACATAAAAGAGAACCAGTAGAGATCATTTCTTTGACTAGAGATCAGGTATAGATTGGCCACCAAACTATATCTCTTTTGAGCCCTTTAGCTAAAGATCAAGTCTAAGATCGCCACAGAATACAACATGCCAGATATTTAATTTTATTGGAAATTGCATCACTTTGCAATAACCAAGCAAGGAAATTCAGTGGCTAAGTTTGCATAGATGGCTCACAGATTCATAGCCATTAGTAGTGACCTTAGATAAACTTAAAGTTCTCGGAATGATAAAGGTCACCAGGCAAAAGCAAACAAATTGGCAAAAAACATATAACAAAGAATATAAAGAAAACTGTTAGGAGAATACAATATTAATAGTAAGTTAAGAAAGAGTAAAAGGAATAGATGCATTTTTTTGGGTGAAAGAATAGATACAGAAGTTAATATTTGACACGAGAATAGTGAAAGAGCAAGAAAGCTGTACCTTATGCGGACTAGTTTTTGCTAGGAAATTTGGCACCTGAAAATTTAACAATACAGTTTCAAGTAACTTCCAATGAGTAACCATAGAAACTCGAACAACTTAAACACACAAAAAAAAACAAACAAACTGTAAAGCCACAGTTTCTTGAATGCTTAAATCAAAATTACCTAATTAAGTTATTTAATTTATGCAACACTGAAAAAATGTGGTTAAATAAAAGCTAGGTACTAAACCCATTGGATAGAGTTACAAACAACTTGCAAGGATTGGACGGCTCGCTCTCAACAAGAAGCCTATCCTTCCACTATAGGTCATGGAAAGGGGGCAGGATTGTTAATAAAACAAAATAGAAAATTCTGTGATCCGTTAGTCTCATGGTAATTATATGAAAAGGGAAAGCTTCTCAATTCACCACCAAAGGTATTCTTTAGTCCATGGAACTGTTAATCACATTACTCATACAGTGACATGAAGAAAGATGCTTTGAAAGAAATTAGCACCATCTTTTGCTAATTTTGTCATGACATTTATGTTCAAGAGGAAATTATTCTTGCCACTTAACTACAGCCATTCCCTTGTTCATTGAATTTCGGTACATTACACTAATGTTACAATGACAAAGCAGAATACTATAACAGATAAGTACAACATCAGGAGCCTTTAGACAAATTACCAGTGTCTCCTTTGAGTAGTACATAATTTGAGGTAAATGCAGTACAGTTGTTGAAAACCAATTTGTAACCATATCTGCAGTCAAATCTCCGACATACCTATCACAGAAATAAATGTTGCAGCATTTCTGTGTTTTTGGCAATATAGATTTAATAAATATCCAAAGCACGAATAATGTGTAATTATCTACACATAAATTACTTCAGTAAATTAAGTCAAAAATTTTACAACGGTAGGTAATTTTGAAACCCAAAGACTCACCTAGTGATGCAATTTGCAGATTGACATCCACGGGGAACAGCAACAACAGACGGAATACCTGTGCACAATTTTTATAGGTTAGAAAAGCCAAATGTGCTCCTTCTAAAAATGTCAAGGTCCTCATCTGCCTTGTAAGACACAGGATGTGGTTAAATCAAGAAGGACAAGAGACAATTAGTAAAACATCCCACTTTCCCGTTTCCAGTAAACATATTTCCAAAGCCATCAGTCAGATGAACAACAATTATAAAACATCTACTTCTTGCAAAAATTTAATTATACTTTCTAATCACATGCAGCTTTGTTTTAAAATAATTCATTGAGAACATGCAACAAGAAGCTGCAAAAAATAAGAAGCTCCTTCAAAAGCACCCAGCCTTTGATGCGTTAAGCAAATTGGCTATAAAGAAATCTGGAAGAATCTTTAACAAAAGTTAATGTAAACAAACCATAGTCAGAATAAACCATAAGATGCATTTACTTTGTCTTAGGTAAATGATTGTTACAATGAATCTTCAACAGGATTTGGAGAACACTAGTCCTTATTTTGAGCCGTTACACAATTATTCATATTTACATTATTTCAACCAAAAAAAAAATTGACAACTCCAACTATAGAACAGAACTTTTGATCAAAATCATGTTAGGTATACAGATAAATAAGTAAATAAATACTGCATTCAGGAACTTACCATTTCTAAAAAAAGGCTTTCCAGTTGATCTTTTATCGGCAAGGTAAACAGCAAGTTGCATCTCACCAAGTTCCACCACACCAATATTTGCAACCATATCCAATGAAGAAGCTAATAGTAGAGAAAAAGAATCAGAAAAGTCAAGCCCAGAAAATTTGACCAACAAAACAGAATCTTTGGATTTCAAGGAGATTTAGTCCACGTTTAAAACAAAATTTATAACATCAAACCTTGTACTCCTTCAGTGAAGAAAAAAATGCATCAAAAAAAGTGAAGGAAATGAGTAAGTTTCCAGCTTGCATTTTGTCCGATAGATGAGAGATAAAATGATTGCTGAATACACAAGAAACTTATTCATTTGGTCCTCTTAGCATGAAGCAAGCTTGCACATTCACATATAAGCCTTCTGTTTTAACGTTAAGAGGGAAGTTTTCTTTCCCCTTTTCCTACCATCAATACAGTTCTTTATCTTTCTTTGGGGGCAGGAATTTAGATACAATGATCACAACAGATTTGGTCATACATGTCAGAACATCTGAATGTTAATTGCTGATGGGCGACTCATAAACATTTCAAATGATTTGAAAACCAGAGTAACATGTTGAAATATTTTTGTTTTATTGGGGATATGATATTTGTAATCATATTACCATTATAATAGAGATTTTCAGGAAATTAGTCCCATGAATCTTTGCCTCGTGTCTCTATCTGTTGTTTCTCCATTGGTGTATATATGTTCTGCTCTAATGTATTATTGAAATACGAAAATATACTATGCTTCTTGTAACGACTATCCTTTATACACCAATAGAGTTATACTATTTAATCTCAAATCATTAAAAGCCAGGTTTCAATGCTGGGAAAGACATTTTTTATTTTTTTATTTTTTTTTACAATTCCCAAACACAAGGTCTGATCCTGTTCAAGGAATGGGATTTTCTCCTTCATCATGCTTTACTTAAATCCATAAAATTTGGGATATTACACTTCTCTTGCTCTGTTCCAGCCTAAACAACAATTCACAAGGATAGAGACTAGCTACGTCAGAAGTTCATGTTCAAGACATACCAATTTTCTTCCAGTCCTCTGAAAACTGAGCACAGCGTTTGCTCCCAGATGAATACAACTGATCCAAAATTCATTCAGCATAAGTACCAAGTCAGAAATTCTAAAGAATAAGAGAGTTCAAATTATATCTTTTTACCAAAAAAAAAAAAGCCTTGTCCTGCTGCGTGGAATCAGTTACATAGATTACATAATGTCATTGTGCTCTATCAACAGCTCAAAACAAACAAACAGGAGTTCAAATCATGTGCATAAGAAACATTGATTTTACAAAGTCCTTTGCATAAATGTCAATCGAACCTATTTTTCAGGGATACCAAGAGTGAACTTGAAACTAAATGTCGAAAATTACTGCATGGCTTTAAAATTCACATGATGGCACAAAGTACAAACCATAAATTTACCAATTTTTCAAAATCATCAATCAGCATATTGGAAAATAAATTGTTTACCAAGCTATAGCGACATATTGTCACCATCTGGCTATTTAATTCAAAGTTGGAATTAAAGATTTCATCCAGACTTGTAAGTTAGGAGACCCCTATAATTATATCTTTTCAGAAGCAGACAGCCGCTTCTATCAAGTTGTTAGAACTAAGAATAACATAGTGCAATGCTAACATCAACCCTAATATCTCCAGAAAATTTACATGGCTCATTCCATAGTTTGAGCAAAAAATCCTCATTCTGCAAACCATAACACCGACTATGTTTAGCTCATTTGTGATTCTAAAGAATACAATTCATGTTGAAGCATTGAATACCAATCAAGCACACTCAACAAGAGAAACTATTACACACATCCATCCAAAAAGAAGCACCATGACCCAAAGGTGAAGGAAGAAAAGTACAAAATTTCACACAAAACTAAAAGTCCATTTTTTAAAACTTAAACTTATCCATTACAAGGAAATGATGATGAGGGATAATAATAAGAGAAAATAATGCTGTGAAACACTAGCTACTTCAGTTATCGTATGTCAGCATATCCAACAAGTTTTTATACCTGAATTAGCCATGGCTTTGTATCTGGAAATAAAGTCTGGAAGTCACTGGTTGTGATGACTTTATAAGAGTGATCAACAGACTCTGAAATATAAAATGAACCATACGTATAAGAATTTCCTCATGAAAAATATTACAAAGAACCTCCTCATAATTGCCAATCTTTTATGCATATTACAAGTCTCAACTAACCAAAAGAAGGGGCATCTAGCAAAGGGAAGTCCAATTCTGAAGTATTTTTCCCTGCATAATGCTTGCTGGCAGTGTCAATAATATGCTACCACCAAGCAATTTGTCAATTAAAGAGAAAAAAATATAAGCCAACAGTAAATAGGTTATACAAGAAAAAATCTTGGGACAGCTCTTACAAAATGAAAATGATATTCAAAGGAACTATCCTGAAGAAAGTACTCACAAGCTGCTCATCAACGCCAAATAAATCATAGTCTCTTTTCCACGTAGGATTTGTCAGCAACTCATAAGCATATCGAATCTGCAAACACAATATGTTGTTTTTGAATTGATGTTCCAACGTTTAGGCTTCTTGCAGGGGAAAATGTCAACTTATAAAGAAACATTTTACAGTTCCATCTCATTAATGCAGATCCCGCTCTCTATAACATGAAATCCAAGACAATTTCAGGGGAATGGTTCATTGATTCCTCTATAAGGTAATGATGTAGAGAAAGCTAGATGCGTATCAAGTTTCAACAGATTCAAATTAAATTAAGCAATCAAATCTAAAATATTTGACACTCCTAGCACTCTAAACATACACATCATACGGCCTGAACCTCATTTTCTTTGCGCAAACTCTCTCACCCAAGCATAAACACTCATGACACACTCAGACATACAGTTAGACAGCATTTCCCTGAGTAACCAAATTTAGCCAGCGGCATTCAGATTCAACCTCCCCCAATAGTCACATTTCCTCTCCTCTTACTGCTAGTTGGTTAGTGCCGGCAAAATCTTCTCTAAGCAGCTGAATTTCGTAATGTTAAGCCAGTATCTAAAAATCTCAGATTCAACGGATTTGTTTGCTTAAAAGAAACAAAAAGGTATAAATCAAATACACATCTTTTCAAGGATGACAATGTTCAAGACAAGCCAGTCCTCTCTGGTTCTCAGTCAATAATATGGAATCAGTTGAATTTGACTCAACTCATTATAAGCAAGGAAATCAGATCACAAAATCAACAGAATTATTTTTTACAAAATACAGGCTAAGTTGAAACTAAATAGAAGGATTTTAATAGTGTCAGAGCCATATTTAAGAGATAATCCCCTATCATATACAACTTATCAGTTCCTTTCTCAAGAAGTTTCAAAAATTATCTGGAAATAGTTTCACAGCAAATCCTGTATTAAAGTGTTGTCCTTCTCATAGTGAAGAGTCTTTGCTGTAAACACTAACATTATTAACAGACAACATAGTTCATAAATGATGTCCAGAAACCAACCTTTAAAACTTCAAGAGTATCTGGAGCTTCCGAAGCCGAATTCCTGAAAGAACAACTAACTAGTGCATAAGATCATCCATTACTTGGAAATTTAGATTTAGAATGCTCATAAAAAACCATCAAAAAGGCTCAAGCGTAAAGCATGTTGCGTATTCTCAATGTGCTCCTGCAGGCCACCATATTCATCTATTCACATGTTAAATTCATAAAAGCCCAATGAGAGAGGAGACTGGGAAGCAATAATAAATAGCTCACACACACACACGCTCCAGTGAGACGTAAGAATACACAATTTATAACAAGTAAGGACTCAATTACCATTCAGATTCAAATTTCTCGTAGGCCTCCTTCACTTTCTCAACCGAACTATACCTCTCAATTTTCAGAACTACGATCACCAGAGTGGAGAAATCACGTAAATTTACAAAATTCATAAACAAAAGACTGCGAAAATCATGTGCATAGAAACGGAATCCCATGCGTAGGAATAATAGGAATTACCGTCATAATGGGAGGGAGGGAAGGATTTGGGAATAACAAAGAGCTGGTAGTACATGGCTCCAGCAAAGAGAATGAGAGGCAGAGAGTAGGCTCTGATTATCGAGGCCATTGAGGAAGGAGTCGCCTGAGATGGTGGCGCCGAAACCCTAGCCATGTTACGCCGGGGCGAATCACAGTGACGGGAGCGCAAAAGGAGGAAGAATTACAACGGAGACGGGATCACTTCCGCGGGAAGCAGCACATTCCGGAATTTCTTCTTTTTCCACTATATGTGACGGTGACGGTGATTTTGAGGAAGGAAACAAGTCTGAAACAACTGTAAAATTAATTGCTTTTTAGATAAGTCCTTTTTTTAACTTTAACTATCGCTGAAGTCGCCTTTATCTTGATCATAGTAATGGTTACAAAATTAGGTTTTTGACATTTCCATCTTCTAAATACCAAGTTTAACAAAATTATAAGATGAACCCCGAAAAGAAAAAACCGTTAATCGGTCAAAAAAATGAACTTGGTTAGAACACACATCAGAAGTGATGTGAAATTGAATCACTGGAAAACTTTTAAATCAGATGAAGCAAGCTTTGAAACATGGCCTTCGTTGAGCACGATTGTTTCCCGGAGCTTCATCCTTGGTATCCGTTTAAGTCTTGGCAGAAGATTGTCACTGTCTATCGTGGGTGGCTTGTCTGGTTCCTCAATGGCAGGCAGCTCCCGACTGTGAATGATCCGGGAGCCATTATTAAAAGTGATTATTCTTGGCTCTTAAAATTCCTGCTCATTATGCAATGCTGAATTGGACTTGTAGTAGTCCAGCGATAATGCTTACGTATCTGGTGTTCATTAACTGTTACGAGTGAAGGCAAGCAAACAAATGCATTTTGAATATATTAGTACAATGATTACCAACGTTAAAAGATAAGATAATTAATACCCATGAATTGCGATCTTTTGTGGGGGTAGTCTGATCTGATCTTGACATTTTTCTTAAAGAAAACGAAATAAATCAAGAATATGTGGATTCCTTTCATCATTGAAGAAATGCGCAAGATACAAGAAAATGTCAAGGGGTCAAAGTTTTTGCGTGACAAGTGAGGAAGGTAGCAAGTTAAGGGGAGTTTGGCATTACTCAGAACTAGAAGCACTTTAAAAAAAAAAATATTTTTACACAAATCAAAATAAAAAAATTTATATATATTTTTAATTCTGTCTAAAAAGCTAATTCAAATGGCTCTTAAGTGCGGTTTGAATCTAAGGAGTGAAAGATGTCCTTCACTTTAAGCACGTTTTAGGTTGTTCGCTAAAGGCAACCTAACTGAATTTTGAACCAAGAGGAAGTGAAAGAAAATACTAAGAGAAGATTGGAACAAAGATAAGTGAAAAACAGGAGAGAATGAGAAAATTATGTACGTAATGTACAACCTCGCATGATTTGAGCATATCAATTGGAAAACTTAATTTATTTTATCTTTTCACAAGTCAAGCCTTGCACTTTTCTCACAAGGAAAGGAAATTCTCCCTGAGCAAAGCCGAGTAAATTCTACTTTCATAGTGTTTGTGTCTTTCAAGTGAAAAAAATAACACCCTTAGATTTCTAAATATACGACATATTTTATAGTATAATATATTCTTTTGGTTATAAATATAAAATTTATTTTATAGTATAAATTATATTACAAAATAGATTTTATATTTAGGATTAGTGGGGATATTTTGAAAAAGTAATTTTAACTTTCTGAAAAATACGAAACCAACCAAGCAGCTCATATGAACTTCTTCAAAATTCAAAAAGTTGTGTGATTGAACCAATTGATACTTGCGTGTTTTCTTCTATTTTCTTTTTTTGAAGCGTCGTTGGATCCATCTAAATAGTCGTCCTCGCAGCATGATTTTTTTAATCCGCAACGTTTAAATTGTTAATTTCATTGAAAGGGAATTAAACCCTTTCTATTTAAGACCCAAAAAAAATTGAGAAAGCCAAAATTTATATAGATTTCTCATATTTTTATATACGACCACAATTATTATTGGGTAGATAAGGAATAGCCTTGGCAACATGTTTTTTTTGGGGGGGGGGGGTAACCTCTGGGATATTTAAATTATTAACATTAGTTAAAGAGCCATGGGGTCTCTCTCACTTTTAAAATATTTTCCAGCGCAGCAGCAACGGCGGGAGTGTGAATACTGCAAAGAACTAATAAATAATGGAAAGCATATTCGAAATTCGGGCCACGAAGGTCGCCTTCATGAGAGAATATGTGTATTTTTTGAATATACATATATATATATATATATAGATAAAACTAAAATCATAAGCGCGCATCCACAGTTTAACGATTAAAACTAGATCTGAATTTTGTTTTGTGTGTGTACATTGAACAATATACTATCTCCGGTCTTAATTATAAGACGTTGTTTGTTACAAACGAGATATTATAATTAACACCGGAAGTAATATATACATATGTTTAATTGTATGTGTGTTTTTTCACCAATTAGACTACTAAGATTTTGTTTAGAATAATTTATAAGCAGTTTTTTAATAATAATTTACTGAATAGAAATAAGTATAAATATTTAAAAGAGTATTATTTTTATCTATATATAACGTGTTTATAAGTGTTTTTAATCGTAGCTTCAAAACCTAACACACCCAAACACAACACACACTTCTTCTTCTTAGCCACTTGGAGTATACACACACGTATATAAATAATGGGGGGTGTTTGAAAAGTGGAAAGTGGAGAGAATAATGATGCATGGAAGGAATTGGCAGAATTTCCGCTGGAAGTCAAGAAGAGACGTCAACGGAGCAAGCCGTTGTTCTCGTATGTGCGTACCTGTCCCCGTTTCCTGTTTCACCTACTTTTTCAACGCTCTTATACCATGCGATTCCCAGACATCTTAAGAGCAAGAATCCGGTTGAAACTTACGCAATTCTTGATATATTCATCCTGTTCTAAATATAAATTACACTATAAAATATTCTTTCAATCTTTAATATAGAACCTAATGTTGAGTTGATTTTAGTCTTAAATATAAAATCTATTTTTTATATTTATCAATTTTTTTTAAATCACCCCTATGGATACTCCGTCAAGCATAATCAAATAGAACAGAAAGAGAGGATATTAAGGAAGATGATTATGGTGTTTTAGAAAAAATGTGTCATATTTCTTATAATTAACTAACTTATCTAAATTCTTTAATCGAATCAGATTAGTTAAATAGATCTTATATCAAGAACCGAAGGAGTAAATTTATATTTAGGGTCAACAAGGGCATTTAACCTACAGGCTACAGTTATATATCCATTAGCCACCCCATCAACGAGACAAATACGAAAATAAATAAATAAATGGAATCAATGACATATAACATCCGCACTGTAAGAAGATGGTCTTGTTGGTGATGATGATAGCAAGAGATTTAAGTCTATATGGTACCACGGAAATGAGAAGAAGGTGAGGAGAGGAGAATTTTTAATAGGCTCGAATTAAAAATTAAAAAAATAATGTTAAAATTTTCTCATTAATTTTTTTAATGTTACATATGATCTTTATTAAAATTTTCTAGCCTCACCTCTTTGGATTTTTAAAATTAAACTTAATAAAATTTTCTATATCCCCCTTTTGTTTTTCTTGTACCAAAATAGGGTTAATTATTTTTGGACGTTGATCATCCAAAGTGCTATATAGTGGGAGCATGACGAAATGTGTGTGGCCCTAAACCACTACACAAACACGCCAACCCACGAAAAGCTGTGAGAGTCCACATAAGTTGAATCTAAAGTCAACGAATCAAGTATACATACATTAATATGAATTCCAATCCCTCCTCGAACACAGTTCTATTATATGACTAACAAAAGGTGAATTTAATAAAAAGAGTTAGTTTCTCATAACGTGACGAATCAATATTTGAAATTCCTGCTAAGAGAAATATTCACATTTAATACTTGACAATATCTCGAGTAAGATTACCTCTTAGTTGAAGAATATCTGTACTTGGCAAGGAAAAAAAAATATTATATGCAAATGGTATGGAAGCTTCATAGACACATGTACTCAATTAGTTCTCATAACTTGAAAGAGGAATAACACAATAAGAAATCATTGTATATTAAATTTTAAGGCCCAAAGGGATAACTGAAGCAAATTGAGGAATAAAAATTCCATTATCCTTAATATACAACTACTTAAGACAGAATGTTATGACAAGGGCTGAACAGCTTTAAAATTACTCGCTTGAAAATTAAAAATTGACGAACGAACAAATTAATAAACAGGCCCCTGAGGCGACATCGGCCTCCGTGGAGCTCACGCAAAAAATCTCATTCACTTGGCTCAAGCGTTGAGTGGGAGTGGGCCCCGGCCCAATAATACACAAATTTCAGGTGATGAAAATGGTAGGTGCATGAAGTAAATGACTTTAATATCCTGAATTTTTTTTTTTTGGGATTTTCTAATTAATTTAAGTTCATTTAATATTCATTCAACGAATTGGATTCTCTCCTACAAGATTTCAAAGCTATAAATAATAGGTAGGGTGAACCTTCAAGTTGGAATTTTTAAAAATTCTTGGCCCGTCGAGAGATTTGGGATGACAAAGATGAGCAAAATAAAAGAAAATTGAAAGAAAAAAGAGTAACTATTATTCCCTTTAATTTTTCATGTACATCTAAGTATCTGACCCTTTAAGTCTGTGCTCACAACCCTCCATTTGAGAGTTGCAAGGTGTATCTTCCAGTCTTAAATATAAAACCTATTTTATAACATACTACTTTTGATTCTAATTATAAGATCTCGTTTGTAGGCTATAAACAAGGTCTTATAATTATGACCAAAGGTAATAAATTACACTCTTGTATTTAGGACAGCTGGAGTGTTAATTATGAAATGATATTCTAAAAAGGTGCTGAAGTTAAAAGCAATATTCATTCATCATAGTATTTATACCAAGTTGCGAAGTACTATCTCCGGTCCTAATTATAAGACCTCGTTTCTAGATTACAAAAATAAGGTCTTATAATTAAAATCGGAAGTAGTATTTTATTTTGGCGGGAAGGTGATATAGTTTTCATCGATGAAGAAAAATGCCAGATGGTAGAAATGATTGTAACATCCAACTGGTTTTCGCAATCACAAAACAAATTATATGATTTTTTTTTTCCGAAATTTGTTGGAATTACGTAAAATTTTAGCTCATTCTTACAATTTACACAATTATTCTACAAAAATATAAGAA